CCCCGAAGGTGACACCCTGAGCTCCAGAGTTCAGATGCTATGGCACCCCAGGAAAGCCCTGGGATTTGCTGCCAATAACTCCTTCTCTATGTCCAGGACTCTTGTATACAGTGGACCCAAAGATAAATCCTACCCAAATATAAAGATGTCACAGGAATAAAAGAGCCAAGGTGCCAGCCGTGTGCAGGCAGTACCCGCACTGTAGCTCCCTCGCATCAAATGCAATCTGTAACCTTCTGTTACAAAATGCTGAAGTTTGACAAATTCAAATGAGGAACAATACTATTAATAAAGAGGGTCACACACTAGCACAATTCACCTAGGCAGGTGGTGTATTCCCTACTGCCTGGAGCTTTCGCGTGGCCGCATTTCTAAAGGAGACGCTACAGTTCAATCAGAAGTTATAGGCTTGACGCAGGAAATGAAATTGGTGAAATTCTCTGGCCTGTGCTCTGCTGTAGGTCAGACTCGATGATCAAAATGGTCCCTCTGGCCTTAAAATCTGAGAATATCGCAGCTTTCTCGATGCCTAGCCGAGATCAGCTCCGACTGAGGAGCAATTGGATGAAGCGGAGCACACACAAGCCGTGTTAGTGAGAAGCGGGTAGTCTCCTTCCATCCGGGGATGGGAAAAGAGTTGCACCCGATTCTGTTTGGCTCGGCTGGCAGATGATGATCTATCTGTATTTTTGTAACATCTCGAGCTTGACTGCTGTGATACTGTGCCTCTAGGAATGAAGCCGTCTGCTCTCAGAGCGCTCCAGCTAGTTCAGAATGCAGCAGTCTGTTTGCTCGGCGACTCAAGCTGCCGGGAATGCATCACCGTGCCCCTCTGCACCCCACATCACCTCGCCTTTGAGCACTGAGTCCGGTTCAAGGTCTCCAAGCCAGCATTCAAAGCCCAGCATGGGACAGGCCCCAGTGACCTAAGCAATCAATCACCTCTCCTTATGCAGCGATGACCTCACATGACGGATATATTCCGCTGGAACAATGAAATTGCCAACCAGTTTGGGGAGAGGGGGAAGCGATGGAAGAAGGGGAAAGAGGCTCATGACCCTGAAGAACAGAACATTCACAGGAGCCGGGCCAAGATTATGAAACTTACTGCCGGCTGAAATAACGCTCGCCATTAGCAACCCCGCAGCACCGATAGCTTCATGCAAATCCTTTCTTCTCCCAGCTCCCTCATGGCAACGATCCCACTCAAAATTGTAATAAAAAAATCAAAACAAACCTGAGGAGGACCCATCCCTCCTCACAGAGAAAGAACACTAGGTTGGCTGTCATTTTTTAACTCCCCGCCAGCATTAAGGGCTACGGTGACAGCTACCGATACAAGACTGTGATCTGGGAC